ACCACCACCACCACCACTGCTTCTTCTCCATTACCATTTCACACATTGGCCTCCATTGCGGCGTCTTCCAGGGCTTGGATTCTGCGCTCGGCCTCTGCTCTCGCCATCTGACCTTGTCTGCTTCAGATTTACTCACTGATGCTTAAGGGGCTGTCTGGGAGTTAATATGGTAGTTGCCCAAATAAAAGGACCCCAATATAGACACCAATATACTATAGGCCTTATTATGGGGACCCCAAAAAAAGGTACCCCTAATTTTGGAAAACACCCATTTTGGAACTAACGATTATAAGGCTGGAATGGAGCAGACATACTACTATAAGGATCCATTCCCTCCACTACTTTAAGCACCAGTGAGCTCAGGCGAAACGAGTCCCCAACCCCCAGTGACGCCCCACATCAACCCCATGAATGCACGCTCACCCAAAAAAGTAGTACAGGCCAACCAAGTTTAGGGTTGAGGATTTAGGGTTTAGGGAGAATCACTACTGGCAAAGACCCTGGAGAGCTCAGCGACATCAACTGCAAATAATCACAGCACCAAACCAAGGAAACACATGCTCGCCCAGGTCTTGCCCCTCTGCTACATTTAAAGCTTACTGGGTTGCTGTTAAAGAACTTAAAGTAAGTTACCATATCATGGGTATATAGTAATGAATAGGGTCCCTCGTTATAATCGTAATTAATTCAAGTTCCTTAAAAGCAGCCCAGTGTAGGGCAAGCTTCACTTTGCCAATTTCAGGCGTCCTCCAGTCAGCCCTGTCCGTTTGTCCCCTTCCAAGATGTACGTACAGTCACTAACTCACTTAGAAGCTTCAACATGGTCCTGGTTCTGGCTGATGCAGACTGTCATGCTAACTGTAGCAATAACGTAGCAATACAAATTCCAAACAGTAAGGTAACAGTATGACTGATGTGCTCAGGTTATGGTGCCAACGTTTGGAGTCAAGATGCTGACAGCAGACGCCACAACTTTCGCAACCTGCGGCAGGACAGCAGCAGTTAAAGGACGCTTCCACGATATGAAAGTCTGCAGAACTCTGCAATTGTGACCAATAAGTTGCACTCGTGTCAACTGTCATGGCAGTTGTCATGCTATTGTTTCACTTTTGTTTCACTAGTTAAGTTGATCAGGGCTGTTATAGTTCTGATCACCAGCATCACTATCACACTGTTCTTGTGATCGTCTCGCTGGCGGCCTCGTGTGGCTGCATGCCGCTATCCTGATGAGACAACGTCGAGCTGAACTTCACACAGCGGGATAGCCCAAAACCCCAAACCCCTAAACCCTAGCAAATCAGCAACATGCAACAGAATCAAACTGGAAGCCTGTCTAGCTACTTCGCAGTGCTCTCCAAACTTGTCGTCAAGAACGTTGCCCCAAGCAATACGATCCAGAAAGACCATTAACAAAAGGGAGCCCATGTCTTGCGGCCAGAAGGCGATGAGAGACTCACATGCCAGCTTTCCCACGCAAAAGGCCGCGGTCCAAATTGCATTTTCCTCCTGCCTTAGCGTGGGCATTTCTCAAGAATAAAGTTCGCCTGAATACCCTGAAACAAAATGCCAACCTGACAGTTGGACTCATGGTTTTTCTGCAACGTTCACAGCTACTCTTTGCAAGCAGAGCGGCATGCCCCAGTTCAGAGCGGCTTTGTTCCCAGCTACCCGGGCCTTTGCATTAGCCTTGACATGGCAATGCCATGGCGCAGGGCACGCAGTTCACTGAAGAATCTCCCCAGTCCTGGTCTGCATCTGC